GCAGATCCAAGCTGATGTGCTTCAAGCAAGAGTCTGAATTGTACTTTCTAGCAGTGGTCCACGCATGTTCATGACTGTCTTCCTGGTGCTTGCAGTCTTGAAGAAAATATATTTCAGAATACCATTGTGGATCAAAAGAGCATAAGGGCATAATTAGTCGATTTGCCAGTTAGCTTCCATTTGTCTTTACAATTAGCTGTAAGAGGAGATGTTAGATATAGCTCTCGACCGTGCAATTTCTTAGTCTCCATTAGCATTGACATGAATTGGTCACCTCCAATCAACAGGGCATTTTATATTGCACTACTTTTTACTCCAATTTCACTCCGAAACAAACTGTAAGATCTTTGATCAGCAATGATGTCCCTAGACATCCTTGGAATAGCAGGTGCCACAACCCACAAGCCAAAGCCTAGAAGGAAATGAGCTGTCACAAGCTCTTCTTGCATCTAGACAAAGGCCCGGGTCACACTCCAACTTGCGACGAGAAGGATATGCATATGTATATATATACTTGCAGAGGAATATCGATCATCTCTGGGTAATGACTTGCTTGCAGAGACAATGGGAGGATATATATACATATACGTACTCATCCATAAACAAAGCCATGAGAGGGCATTGGTGTCATGGTGTGCAGGCAACTTCTGTTAGTGGTTCCCACAAATGTGTGCCCAACCAAACCAGACACCTCTCACCACTGCACACGGAGCCATTGCTCTGTTGCCTTGTAACCACAAACCAACCTTTCTTTAGCAGCCAGGACAGATCCAGATCTGCCTGCTTCAGCGGTCAGTACAATGCTGCTAAAATTAGACAGGCGAGAGGGGTCTCAAAGATAGGAGCTCTAATTGGGTGCTTGTGACCGGATTAGTCGGCAACCACTAGCTGCAAAATGCCATAAATTGTGGCTAACCATTTTGACTTTGTGGCTATGTTCTTTATTTGTTTCTTCTTTTTTCTTTACTGCCATCAGAGGTGCCCAAGATCGCTAATGCTAACTCATTACTAGATGATGATACTGGACTGCTGGCAGATGCAAAGTTAGTGTTCACTATATGTATGAGTGAATTCAAGAATGCAATAATTGCCCGGGTTGATTGGATAGTGAGCAAAAGATCACACCAGCCAAGCTTTGGTTGCACTCTTCAAGGAAAGGCTACTGCTTTTTTACATGCCCCGAAATGTGTGACAAATCATGCCTCTGCTGTGTCTCTACTCTAGTACTACTGTAGTAGCAACTAGCAAATGTTGCTCTCAGACGAGTATATGCTACTTGCTTTTCAGTGTACTGTCGTCAGGGTGGTTAAAGAAATATAAAAGCCCTTAAATCGGTTGGGGTTAGCATATCCAGAAGCTTGGTTACCTAATAAGAAGATAATAGTATGTGATGAGTGATGCAAAACATACAAAAATAATCAGTTTTTTTTTGGGAAGGAACAGGAGGGGCAAGGAGCCCCTACTGGATTAATATTAATAAAAAAACACAACAACAATCAGTGAATATAGCTGACCAAGGTAATTAGGTACTGGTAGGGTATCCTCATTGAAAGAGGCGAAATCGGAGCCTTCAGCTTGTAAAAAAGCAACGTTTCTCCTTTCAAAAAATATACTGGCAGGAAAAGTTGGGAAAGGCAACTGAAATGCTCCTTGAACAATAGCTGTTTGCTTGCAGCCATCAGCACAACCACTTGATAGCATTGCACGATAGCAGCAAACAAACCGACTGAATCTCCTCATCGAACCAGTACTGCAAAAGAAAAGGGCACAAAAAACGCTATATGATTTGACACGCAACGCTGTTAACCTACACACTCCGTTCCAAAACTATTCAGAAAAGAAAAGCTCGTTGCTTCAATATATTCAGTAATAGAAGAAGATGGTCATTAATAAAGTGATAGAAGAGCAAAATTTGAGTGTGGGAGCTGCCTAAATACATGCTCAATCAAGCGTTAGCATTTTGATTGGGCAAAACTATTGAAAGTGCGAAAAAATACAGAAATGTGAAGGAATTACTAATTAGCTTAGGCCAATGATTTCTTGAGAGATTTCGGCTGGTAGCTTCTTGAGTAAAGCCCAACTCCCTCCATCCAACAAAGGGTATCATTCTCATTTTTTCTAGAAGTCAAATAATTTTAACTTTAACCAAATATATATGGCATAACCTGTTAACTATGCGCCTCAACCCTAGTGGGCTGGCGGGTTCTCCCACCTTCTTGCCACGCTTGGCAGCTCCCCTGCACCCAGTGCCCACCCTCCCCTCCCTTCCCTTCCTTCCTCCTCCTCCTCCTGCGACCCACCACCACGCCCGCCTAGCGAAAGCACGACCAGCGCCGTGCCTCCTCCCGACATGGGCGCCCGCCATGCCGCCCTGTCAGTGTCAGTGGGTCAGACTGGCAATGAGGCCGCCTCCACCTCCCCTCCCCTCTCTCCTTACCCCCACCGCAACCCCCCTCCCCTGCGGCGCGGCCCTAATGCCGGTGCCTGCGTAGGGCGCGGCCCTGACGCCGGGGCCTATGGAGGGCGTGGGCCGACGACGCGCAGTGGCTGCTCGTCGCCGGAGCTAGGGCCGGCGTACAGGATTGCACTGAAGGCCATTGGGCCCTGGCCTTTGCCGTCGACAACAGCCGCCGGAGGCGGCAGGTTCTTGGGCGCCGTTGATCTGCTCGGATCCGCATCGTCCGGGTCCAAGAATGGGTCTTTTGGGTCCGTGGGCTCCCCGGAGGCCGTTGTGGCAACTGCGGTCAGCTCTCCAGCGCCGCGGCCCTCCCCGCCACTGTCGCCGCCTCGTCCACGGCGCTAGCGACGCCGGGCCCCACAGCCACGGCCACTAGCAGCGTCGAGGGCACCACCACGGGATGCAGCACTGGAGCGCCTCCGCACATCCCCTCTCCATCACAGCCGCCGCCGACGCCAGGATCCACGCTCTCCCCGAACGCGGCCGCATTCTACCCGCCTTCGGTAGGGCGCACGAAGCGTCGCCGGTGTGCGGACGACGACGGTGAGGAGTCCGACGATGACCCCCCACAACCTACATGGATGCTGTCCGTCGATTGGCGAAGTCGGTAACTGCATCCCCGCCGCGCGCTCAGCCCCGTTCAGTTGTGGTTCGGGGCCGTGGCAGAACAGACACGAGACGGCACGTACATGGATGAAGCCGGCGGAGTCGCAGACGGCCGCATCCCCCGCTAGTGCACGACCTACCTGCTCGGCAAGTGGAGGGCCGCGTCTCTGCCCGCCAATGCCTCGCCCGGCGCGGACGGGTCTCCGCTCGCAACGCCGATGGGTGGCGGGATATCCTCCCCCGAGCAGAGACGCGACCTGCGGCCGCCTCGGTTGAGCCTCTCCAAGAGCAGCTCCCGCCGGCCCGGAGGATCCCCGCAGAGCTTCGCGACAGATGTTTCAACTGCCTCTCCTACTCGCACAGAGTAGCGACTTGTTGGTTGCCACGATGTTGTCTGCGCTACCACGACTTCGCCCACCTCGCTAGGGACTACAAGCGGACCAGGTCTGCTGCGACGGCGAAGGCGAAGGGTGACGTTGCTCGCGGACATGAGCCACCGGCTCCCCAGCACACGCCACACGGCAGCCCGCCAAGTTTGGTCGAGGCCGCGGGAGGCACCGGTAGAAGCCGGCGACGACGCTGGCGACGCTGGAGAAAGCCCGGCGAGCGACACCAGCATGGATGCACCTGCCGCCTCCGCCGACAATGCTACTACCTCTGCTGTTGCACACTACCCCCACGAGCCAGATCCGCTGGTCCTAGAGCTGTGCGTGAGCAGGGACCTCACGAGTGGATCGACCCAATACTAGAGGAGTTCGCCGCCTTGCGCGTCGTGATCCGGCCACCAGAAGCACCGGCGCCTGGGTGTCCGCCTGTCACGACGACTGCTCCTCAAGATGAGGATGCATCGCTGGTGGACGAGGAGCGCCCACAAAGCCCTAGTGCCATCCGCCCAGCCGCGGACATGACCACACATCGCGAGGGACGCGGGAGCTCGGCCACCAAGAGGTTAAAGCGGCTCACCACAAAGATCCTGCGTAAGATGTCATCGCTACTGCTGCCTCAGCCAGATGTAGAGGCACAACCAAGGTTGTCGTCTCACAGCAGAAGGATTGCCGCTCAGGCGCTTTCACGCGTCCCGGTTTCAAAGCGGGGAGAAGTGCTGATGATGAAGCAGATGAGCTACCTTGATGGGCAGACGAGGCCTTCCACTTAGTCCCAAGACGCATACGATAGCATCTTCGTCGCCCAGCTCAACCCCTCGCATGCTGAGACAATGCGATAGCTCTTCCCGGACCCACAAGGAGAGCATCCGAGGCGCCGCGCACGTCAGCGCGTCTGATCGTCGATAATGGCTACGTAGTATGATTAGCGAGTAATAGCTCATGATCTTCTCATGCTAGGAAGGGCAGAGCCGATTGTATAACACTAACACCCTCACACTAGTGTGCCATGTTCGTGGCGCGTCGTCGTAACTTTCACTATTTCTCTATCTTAATACAAAGATACGCAAACCTTTTGCGTATTTAGGAAAAAAATAGATTATAATATTAGTATGGTGTATAATAAGTATTATTAGATTAATTATTGAATATATTTTCATGATAAGCTTTTGTAGAGTTGCTAATATTTTTTTATAAACAAATTCAAACTTAGGAAAGTTTGAGCCGCATAAAACGTTACATGACTTTAATTTTGACACCAAGGGATCGAGTACTACGGCTCCTCAAGAAGCTCGCTTGAAAAATGATGCCATGGCGACCATCACATCACATAACAAAGAAAACATCATCTTTCTTTTCGCTAAAGTTGAAAAAATGCCCCTCGATTTAAAATTTTATAGACGCACAAATAACCGGGCGCATAATATTTTCTTAGAGCCTTCGGATGCTGATCGGACGGTGAACCGTTTTGAGGGAGAGAGAAGAAAAAAACAGTGTTTAGCAGCTCTCGAGCTTTCCCTCGCTCCCGTCTCTCTGCGCTCTTCGCCGCCGCCATGGAGGTCGAGCTCCCGCCGCGGGTGCCGTCCCCTCCGGCGCAAGCTCCCTCAGACGCCTCGCCAGTTGGCGTCACCATCATCACCGGCTACCTCGGGGCCGGCAAGTCGACGGTGAGATTTTGTTCCGTACCCTAACGGCCTAACCGCCGCCTCTCCCCCACCGTGTGTTTTGGTGAAGTAGGCGCGTCAGCATGCATGCGCTTCATAGAATCAGAGGCAAATCGCTGGGTACCCAATATTCGCTGTACAAAGTCTCGCTGATAAAGTGATAGGATACTTCTAATCTCACGAAATTGAATCCTGGTTTAATCTATTTTGTGCCCTATCATGGTTACAAACTATAGGATTACTAGTTTACCACAACAGCTCCTCTGAAAATTGTCATCCTCAGTTCACTGTTTTCTGACATAATTGATTCATAGGTGTAGCTCACCTTATGCTTTCTCATGGTAGCATTTATGTATCTATTAATGCAGTGTTAGTGTGTTACATTAAGTTTCTTAGCCAGTTTCTCGATTAGCTGATTAATGACTTGACAGTTTCTATTGGACTTTGAACTCTAAAACAGTTTCTATTGGACTTGGAACTTTCAGTTAGTCAACTACATTTTGAATGAGCAACATGGGAAGAGAATTGCCGTGATACTAAACGAGTTTGGAGAGGAAATTGGGGTCGAGAGGGCGATGATCAATGAGGGACAAGGTGGTGCACTTGTCGAGGAATGGGTGGAGCTGGCCAATGGATGTGTCTGTTGCTCTGTAAAACACAGTCTGGTTCAAGCACTTGAGCAGCTTGTGCAGAGGAAGGATAGGTAAAATACAGTTATTCCTATCTACATAAGGATACCTTGGATTCAAGTGTGGCCTAGGATTCCAGAATTTTGGGCCCTCCTTTCTGTATCTTTTTGGTTCTTTTATCTACTTGTTGATATGGCCAAATTATTTGGTGATATAATTTGATTTGATATTGACATCCTGGCTGTAGCTCTAAATTGTTGGCATCCTGTTTTTGGCTCACAACACCCTTCTTATTCATGAACAGGAGACCGATTATCTTTTGCTAATGGTGTTTGCTTGCCTTATCTAGTCTGCATGAAGCTGTAGAGTTCAATTTATTTTTTTCATTTTTTGATATATTATGTTGTGCTCTTGCATTGGTCCAATGTTATAAGTTGGATTGGTAGCACCCTTTTGAATTACGATGATGCAAATTGTCCTAACATGTTGGAGTGATTTGGTATCCTGCAGAATGGATCATATATTACTTGAGACAGCGGGATTGGCCGATCCTGCTCCACTTGTTTTTGTTCTTTGGCTAGACGATCAATTGGAGTCCTCAATTAGACTGGATTCTATTATTACGGTTAGTTAAGCCTTGTGACATTTGTTTTTTTTTTCTTTTGTTTGATCAGTTGTCAACCATATTTTGTGAGATGTAGAAAACACTATTGCTGATCACATGCATAACCTTGCTCTGCAGCTTCCTTTTTAAATTTCCCATTCCCATTCTTATAATACTCTAAAAGTTCTGCAAACTATTTGTACTTGGCTTCCTTTAGTTGCTCTTAAGATCACAATTTAGAATATCATATCATATCACGTTGGACTTTTTTTTTAATATATTTTTTGTTATCTATTGGCAGGTTATTGATGCAAAAAACTTCAGGGTTCAAATTGATGAGCACAAAAACTCTTCCTCGTTCCCTGAAGCATTTCATCAAATTGCATTTGCGGTAACTTGTCCTTTGTGTCTCTCTTGTTTTTGTCATTTCATGGTTTATTTTTGGGATATTGACTTCTTGAATTTGGAGTTTCCTTTTTTTTATCCTTGCAGCTGCAGTTAGAATTCATAACTCCAGTATCCGAATAACTACATGTCAAATTCGTGTAACAAGACGTTGTGATATTGAACAAAATTGACCTAGTGGAAGACAATCTTGAGGATTTGGAAAAACACATTCATGATGTGAATGCTCTGGTTACAGTGGTGCGGTCTGTCCGTTGCCAGGTTGACTTGAATGAAGTATTTAACCGGCAAGCATATGGTGCCAAGGTTAGTAAACTAGTTAAGAACTTAAATTCACCTTTTCATCTTAATTATGTCAATGTTTGAAGGTTAAGCTGCTTTGATGTCTTAGGCAACTTGAATATTTATTGTCAAAGTTTATTTTAACTCTATAGTCTATAGCCGTAGGCTGCTTAGAAAGATGGACTATATCATAAAGACTATGAAGGATATATCAAACCAACAAGTCAGTCAACTTTGGGGCTAAGTGGCTAACTAGCAGTATCCTCTACAAGTTGAAGTCTTGAGCAACTATATGGCAATGCAATTTATCCTCAATACTTTATATGCTAGATATTGAAAATATTACACGACTCATCAACACTATCCTTATATGTTCTGAGTTTTATCTAACTGAATGGAAACTTGGAAACCAATAGAACAACCTGAAAACAATTCTGCAAAGCTGATTCTTTGTCCATTGCAAGGCTTTATATATGCTAGAAATATGCATTGGTCTGATCTTGCAGGGATGCAATTCTAACTTCTTCCTTCTTTTTCACTAGAATTCATCTCATCTGCAAGAACTGCTGGACTATAGTAAATCAGTGCCACCTCGTCGCCGTCATGATAACAGTATTTCCACCTTGTGCATCTATGAGCAGGATTCTGTTAACTTGGCTAAGGTACTTTCTCTCCTTAAATGAACCATTTCAAAAGAATCATGTAATGAAGTCAGACATTAAGACATTTGCATACAGAAAATGGGGGCTCGAAAGATATTTCTTATTCAAGGATACAAAGTTGACATAAAGTGCATAGTTTGCTATTCAAAGTATGTCTTGAATTGTTTCACTCACTGTTCCACATCAAGTGTCATTCTTATTTCGTAGGATAAATTGTTCCTGTCTCGAATATAGATATTTCTTCATACATCAAAACAAGATGTTCCACACTTTCTCTGTCAGGCTGTCAGCTGTACTAAATAAATTGACAAAATTCAGTACTTTAAATGGGAACGACTATTTAATATTTTCTAGTATCCATGCCTTAGCGACCCCCCCCCCCCCTCCCCTCCCCCCACAAGGTTCTCTGTTCTTGATCTAATGAACTTGAACCTCCAATTATCAGTCCCTTTTGCATATTTGTCTGATACCCTGTTGTGGTTTGTTTTTTACAGGTGGAGTCTTGGCTTGAAGATCTTCTTTGGGAAAAGAAATCTAGTATGGACATATATCGCTGTAAAGGGATTTTATATATCCATGATTCAGACCAAGTTCATACATTACAGGTTGTTACATCATACAAAGAATCTGAAAGAACTGCATGATCAGCTAAAGCTATCGGCCATTTTTTGTATTTTGTTGCAGGGATTGTCAGTACTGATTTCTGATTTTGCCCTTATGCAGGCAGTGAGGGAAGTCTATGAAGTTGTGCCGGCTCGGAAATGGTCTGAGACAGAGTCTCACATGAACAAGATAGTTGTCATAGGTAAAACCTCAAAAGTCAAAACTCAGTAGTTCAGCATTTGCAAATTCTGAACTGGTTGTAATCTTTGCATGCCCATTTTGCTGCAGGCCGCAATTTGGATATCAATGTTCTTCAAGATTCTTTTAGTGGTTGCAAGAGCTGATAATGAGCATCTGTTTGCCTTGCACAATGTTAGTTGCCCATTTTTCTGTGAGGTAAATTTTTTTAACGTTTCTGTGAGGTAAAATTGGACTTCATCAAGGGTCAGCCTTAAGCATGTATCTCTTTGCCTTGGTAATGGATGAGGTTACCAGGAATATACCAGGGGATATCCCTTGGTGTATGTTGTTCGCTGATGATATAGTGTTAGTGGACGAAAGGCAGGCAGGAGTAAATAGAAAACTAGAGTTATGACGGCAGACCCTTGAGTCTAAAGGTTTTAGATTGAGCAGAACTAAAACTGAATACATGAGATGCGACTTTGGCGGAGTTGTACAGGAGGAGGGAGATGTGAGTTTGGAAGGTCAAGTAGTGCCTAAGAAGGATACCTTTCGGTATCTGGGATCGATGCTACAGAGGGATGGAGATATTGATGTGGACGTTAGCCATAGAATCAAAGCAGGGTGGATCAAGTGGCAACAAACTTCTGGCATTCTCTATGACAAGAGGGTACCACAAAAGCTAAAAGGCAAGTTCTATAGAACGGCGATTAGACCGGCTATGTTGTATGGAGCAGAATGTTGGCCTACAAAGATTCGACATGTTCAATAACTGAGTGTTGCAGAAATGCGTATGTTGCGATGGATTTGTGGTCACACAAGAATGAACGAGTTCGAAACGATGATATACGTGATCGCCTAGAGGTAGCACCAATTGAAGAAAAGTTTGTCCAACATCTGTTGAGGTAGGTTGGCCATGTCCAAAGGAGACCTCCAGAGGCACCAGTGCATTGTGGAGTTTTAAGCCAAGCTAATAATATGAGGAGAGGTAGAGGAAGACCGAAATTGACATAGGAGGCAATAAAAAGAGATTTGAAAGCTTGGGATATACCTAGAGATCTATGTTTGAATAGGAGTATTTGAAAAACAGCTATTGAAGTGCCTGAATCGTGATTTGGGGCTCTTGGTGGGTTTCAACTGTAGCCTACCCCAACTTGCTTGGGACTGAAAGACTATATTGTTGTTGTTGTTGTTGTTGTTGTTGTTGTTGTTGTTGTTGTTGTTGTTGTTGTTGTTGTTGTTTCTGTGAGGTAAATTCCCCTTTGTATTAGAGGTTGCCATTCACATTTTCCACTTTGGGGGCATCACATGCCATTATGGATAGCTTTGCTGTTTGTGGCATTGAGCTGCCATTATCTTGAGTTGCTATGTTAACAATGCTTGTATACTGTTTAAAACGATTCAACTCTTTGTGTGTTTGTACATCAGTTTAATTTTCTTACCTGTAGTATGCACGCAGGTACCTCTGTGCAAGTGAATACTGAACTGGAGGAGAATCTTCAGTCGGGGATTATAGATATCAGGTGCTCCATACATACACTTCGTTAGTGGAGAATCTTTAGTAGGGCAAGCAACTCACAAGGCGAAGAGTAAGCGTAGCCTTACAGCTCAACTGGTTTCATGGCTGTATTACCATGTCAAGTGCTTTTCCGACGCACCATGATACAATTTTTCTGCAGAGCTTGTTTCTTCGGTTTTGTTGACGAGGCATCTGTCCAATTACGGGATGTACTCTGGGGAAGTATTTCAATTTTGCTTTTATGATCATAAACACATTTTTTTACAGGTACGCTGGTGGAAAATTAAATTTTGCATGAAGTAGAAACTGCGATGCGTTAGGCGAATTTTGCTCGGGAATTGGTGGTTTCTTTTGTGTCATGTGGTCCGTGTTCTGTATCCTGCATCATCCATTCATTCTGAGTCTGGACCCCGTAGCTCAACTCTACACTACTGCGGTTTATGGTTTACGGAATGATTTCCTGTTGCTCGACAGTAGAGCACGGGCGCTCGCATTAGAATTTGGCTGATTAGGATGATGGACTGTTGCCCGACAGTAGAGCACGGGCGCTCACATTAGAATTTGGCTGATTAGGACGATGGACAGTGAAGACTGAAGAGCGTGCCCTTGCTCAAAGGGCCATGACGCACCATTTTATATTTTTATCTTCATTACCAGGTACTCCTAGACTCAACTAGTATTTGGTTAAGGGTATATTTGAGAAGACAAAAAGATCAAGCGGCCGGTGCAAGTTGCACCGTGCAACATTTCACGGCGTAACAACCACAAGCTGATCCCACTATAACAAAGTATGAATCTGTTCTTGGATGAACAACTCATCCAGAGGAGCCCACTAATTCGGTTATTTTCGAGATGTTTTCAGTACGGATAATTTCGAGATGTTTTAGTATAGTATGAACCCAAGAAGGTGTACTGCTATAAGTGCCCCTTTGCGACGTATTCCTTGTGTTTCAAATTATAAGACGTTTTAACTTTTCTAGATCGGGACGACTAGCGCCCGGATCCCACAACCGCGCACGATGCACGCAACTCCCTTCACCCTGTGCCAAATCCTGTTCTAGAGGCAGCGGGCGGATGGAGCTCGGCGCCTACACTCGACATGCGCCCGCCCCACATTGCGCGCCAGCGTCTGGAACCGTGTCTCCGCGCCCGCATGTGAACCACGGCGACACCTCGGTAGCAGCAGCAGGGCTGCCGCACCCGCAAGTGAACCACGATGACGCCTTGACAGTAGCACTAGGCGGCTGCAGCAGGCCATTGTCCGCCAGTCACCAGCGGGCATTGCAACATGTGCAACACCCGATCTACTTTTAAAACATATAGAAGAAACATTTGCAATATATAACTAAAACATATGAAACATGCATGTATATTTAGCCATAACAACATATGTAACATCCAGATCCACTTTTGCAATTAAAACACATGAAAACAAACACTTGAAACATGCGTGTGCAGCTATAACAACATATGCAACATCCAGATGAAAATATTTGAAACATATGTCTGAAACAACTAAAACATTTTGAACTAGACTGGAAACACACATATATTGTCACTGCAACATATAAAACGTTCCATATCAACTTTTGCAATATCCAGATGAAACACTTGAAACATAAGTCTAAAACGCCTGAAACACTTGAAACATGGCGTCAGTGGGTATCAAACAACTCTATGTCTCCCCAAGAGAACCGGTACTAAAAACAAAAATAGTTACCGTCACCGACGGAGATCAAAGGGAGTGCTATCGGTCCCCAAATTTAGGGTCATTTGTGCATCATGTATCAGTCCTTGGATCAGTAGCTGATACACACGGTTGGACAATACTGATATAAAAAACGATACTTTTATTGCTAACAGGGAAAACATATTATAGAGTTTGTGTTTATATAGCTTGGGCCACTGGCCTTATAGCAAGCATCAGAGTTCTATTGCAGCGATTCTATGACGTCGTGGCTCCATTCCTACAGGTAACTTGTAGTGCGGACGTAACCCTAGACTTATGTGCATTCTTGTATCTTAGTCGTGGTAGTCCTAGCGTAACCCTAGACTTATGTGCATTCTTGTATCTTAGTCGTGGTAGTCCTAGCGTAACTCTCCTTTGTGTAGTCGCATGCGGTTCGCGCTTTGGTGTATTCCTGTTGTTCCATCCTTGCGTAGCTTCGGTATTGTTTCTTACGTGGAAAATCTGGTCATGCCACTCCCACTGGCATGACAGTATTGTTTTGTCGCGCCACCGGGAGTGGCGTGACAAGACTCGATTTTAGAAAAAGGGAAACTTTGCTTAGGGATTGTCAAAATTTGCTGGCGGACATTACAAATTTCTGGTTCTTTGCCCAGAGACACCATACAGATTATTTTATTCAATTTTCAGTTTTGGAGAGAGAGAATATGGGGGAAATGTCTAAACTACCCTCGTCTTCAACATCTGGCACCTCCTTCCCCCGAGCTCTTCACCGCGCCGTCCCGAGTCTGACTGTGCGCCGCCGCCACCATGGCCACATGTCGATTGGCGCCTGGCGAGGTCGCGTGCCCCTGGCCAAGTCCCCGTCCCCCAGCCGTGCCCCTGTCCCCACTATCCTCCATGGCTGCACCCCCGACGAGGCCCCGCCCGCCCCTAGCACGACGTCAGCGAGGCTAAGGATCGGAGGGAGCAGGCCACGGGCGGCACGGCAGGAATGGATGAGCAGACCATGGGTGGCGCGGCAGGAACGCAAGGAGCGGCTACGCGTGGCGGCTGGCAGCTCTGCGGGCCCACGAGCGCCCAGCCGAAGCCCCGCCAACGCGCACAGCACTCTGCCATGGCTGACGGACAGAGGTGCAAGATGGCTCGCAGGGGCAATTTGGTCTATTCACCACCCTTTCTCTCTACTGAACCACGAAATTGAATATTTTAATGGGTACATTGTCCAGTGGCAAAGAATCATGATTTCATAATGGTACTAGAAATATTTGGAGTTGGCAGTGTCCAGCAGCATATTAGACGTTTGTGCGATGTCACCAAGCAAAATTTTCCCTTCGAAAAATCATAACTCTTCGACATCGGATGAAGATGATTTTCATATGAAAATTGTATTTCTCGACGAGATCTACAACTTTCTAGTTATGATTGTTTTCCTTTGAGGACATTAAGATGCTCAAAAAATAATATAAATTTCAGCAGCATAATAACTGCGTACTAGTGCTTGTCGCATTAGAAAAATAATATCTTTTTTCGTATGGTGTCAAATGAAGATAGTTTTTATATAAAAGTTGTAGTTCTCAAATAGATCTACAACTTTGTAGTTTTGAGTTTTTAAATTTGAGGTCATTAAGATACTCGAGAAAATAATATAATGTTTGAGCGGCATATTAATCGTACACCGGGGCTTGCCCCCTCACGAATTATATTTTCTTGAAAGGTGTCAAATGAAGATACTTTTCATATCAAAGTTTAGCTATCAATGAGATTTACAAGTTTTAGTTTCGAAGTTTTTCATTTGAGTTTGTTAAAATGGTGAAGAAAATAATACAAAATTTAAGGGGCATATTAATCACGTACCAAGCTTAACCTTTTTTAAAAAAATCATATATTTCTTATTTCACGTCGCATAAAAATATTTTTAAATGAAATATGTAGATCTTATCGAGGGCTACAACTTT